GCAAACTATAAAAGCAACACTTCACGCTTGTTTTGCCAACACAACGTGGCGTCTCTGTCGTCTAAACACTGTGACAGTAATGAATATTAATGAAGCTGCACAATAGAGCGCGCTGATTGGTTTGAACCAAGCCTTACTCATGCATTAATGCATCACACTGTAAGACGTAATAAGACACACTCTGGCACAGACGCCCAGTCTGCACGCTGGAATACACGCTATTATGTCATGACCGTGACGCAGCTTCAAAAATTAGTTTCAAACAGGAAGTACGAATTTGCTTGAAATAACGCAAAAACAACCAATTTACACTTTTTAGTGAAATATAGGTGTCCTGATAGTGTTTTTAGCAGTGTGGGACACATATACTACTGTCAACAGCTCAACACATGTGTTCTGGTGTTTCCTGACCCTTTAAGCTTCACTGAGTCACTCAAATCAGTGTTGTGTAATAATCAGTCCGCATTAAGCGACTACAACTGCTCAGAAAAAGGGAACACCAACATCACAATGTCACTCTCCTAGTGTTACTGTTATTGTTGGAGCAGTGTGTGTATAATAGGTGACATTCTGAGTGGATTTCTCTCTCTTGTATACTGTAGTGCTGTATTTATACCTGCAGTGTATCGAGTGTGAGATGGGACTTGTATCAGGAATGTGTGTATTCTGTGTTGGCCGCTCTTTGTATAACTCCATTTGGCCGTCTGTTTGTTTCTGTCCTGTTTTCACTACTGCAGACTAGTTCAGTAAACAGAAAGACAGAAGAAATGCCCGCATGTGTTCAGTGTTTTCCTCATCACAAGCACAACAGTAATCTGCTGGTGTTTGCTTTGGCTATGATTGTGATCTCCTGAAACACTGTGAGATCTCTGTAGACTGATGGCATTTCATGCTGTTCAGCCTTATAATCTTAACATGCGAGCAAAATCAGCTGTTCTGTCAGCAGATAACTGTATATGCTGTGAGGCTCCACGATGAAGCGGTTCTGTGTGATCCGCAAGTAACTTTGTGTCAACAACTGCAAGAACTCCTCCTTGTGGAAGTGTGTGGCAGTTTGTGCAGCCGGGAGATTCTCAATCAGTCTGCACCAGAGTCATGTTCACAGCCGTCTGTGCTTCCCGTCTCAGGAATGCAAGCAGCTGGTAGCGGGAGGATTGCTTAGTGGATAATTCCCCTCTTGTTGGTAAAGTTTGTGTACTGGATGTTGATCTTCAAGCGGTGTCGTTTGAGCACTGTGCTGATAGGCTTAACTACAGTATACAATATAAAACACAGGAGTGCAAACGGTGGAGCGGTAGGCAGAGACGTCTGTACAGTAGATACACAGGAAGCAGGACATAGAAAGTGAAAACTGAGCAGTAATTTTTCCACACGGATGCCTCTGCTACATCGTCTTACTGTCGTTTGTACTGTAATGTGATGTGTGTATTTGTATAGTGCATGTATCATGTATAACCATACACCTAAAGCGCTTCACAGTCATGAGGGGGGTGTGCGGCTCCAACTGATGATGCTCCGGCAGCCACAGGACCACAGCACCAGGGCTTCACCACACAGCAGCTGTAGGAGGAGTGGAGAGACAGTGATGGAGCCAATTCAGGAGATGGGGATGATGGAGGGAGTCTGGCCAGGACATTAGGGTTACACTGCTACTCTTTACCAGAAGTGCCTTGAGATTATTGAGTAGAGAGAGTCAGGAGCTCGCTTGAGCGCCCCCTGCTGGCCTCACCAGCACCCCTGCCAACAGCAGCCCAGTGTCCCCATGTAGTCTCCCATCCAGACTCAGCCCTGCACAGCTCCAGTGAGGAGCCACTCTTGGGCTGCTGGGAGAGTTCTGGGTCATTTACTGTCCAAAAAACACTTTCTAGTAGAATAAAGATGAGTCAGAATAATTTCCTGCTTCTGTGTTTCAGCATCTGCAGGAGGAGCGCGTGGCTCTGGCTCAGAGGAGGGACAGCTTCAGGAAGACGCTTCACAGAATGTTGGAGCAGAATGAGACTCTGAAGAAGCAGCTGCAGGAGAACGAGGTGCACGCGGAGGTCAGGTTACATGCATGCACACACACACACACACACACACACTAGATACACACACACCCACAGACGCACACACAGACGCACACACTATCTAGTCCAGGGGTGTCCAAACTTTTTGGGCCGAGGGCCAGATGCAAAAAAACAAACGTTGTCGCGGGCCAAATTTTACATACATCACACAGACACGCACATATATATATATATAGTTGAAGTCAGAATTGTTAGCCCCCCTAAATTATTAGTCCCTGTTTTTTTCCCCAATTTCTGTTTAACGGAGAGAAGATTTTTTTTCCACACATTTCTAAACATATTAGTTTTAGTAACTCATTTCTAATAACTGATTTATTTTATCTTTGCCATAATGACAGTAAATAATATTTGACTAGATATTTTTAAGACACTTCTATACAGCTTAGTGACATTTAAAGGCTTAACTAGGTTAATCAAGTTAACTAGTCAAGTTAAG